CAGGGTCTAAGTTCTCTCTTTCTACTGTCTTCATACTACCTGCCCCCCCCCCCTGCCTGCCCAACCTTCCCTACTGCCTACCAAGGGCCCCTACCACTGCTTTTCCCACTGCATTGGTGATAGGGATGAATTTAAGATGATCCTCCAATAATTAAACAAGGGAGACGTGCTTAGATATTTTCTTTTAATCAACTAAAAGGTTTTCTTTAATCAACTATAATCAAGCTTTAATTTTAACTTAAAGTAGTAAATTTTCAAAAGTGGTGCAGGGTTTTTTTGTGTGGTTGTTTGTTTTGTTTTTTAAATCAACTCTATTTAAAATTAATAATTAAACCTAGCAGCTGCAGACTTGCAGAACCATGCTGATGTTATGCAAGAATTTTTGGAGTGCTACCATAACAAGTTTTGTAATACTATCTCTTAGGCTGCTGCAAACTATGTGCTTAAATCAGTATTTAATCTCTGTCTTGGCCCTTTTCTTTCAGTGACTGTTCAAGAGGGATATTCATTCACCAACACCTTCTGAAAATGGCACAGGCAAAACGTCATAATCCAGTGGACAGTATTTGCCGAAAGATCAAGACTATCCAGATGATGGACCAATTCTCAAATCCTGCTCTACAGATCCCCAAATTTCAGTCCAGGAACTTTGATAGCCCACAGAATAATGCCAGGAAAAATCTAGAAGAGCTATTGAAAAAAAGGACTTTTAAAAGTTATGATGGTACACCATGTTCCAGAAGTCCTAATAAGAATAATATTTTCTCTCCATACTTACAGGCCATATCCCCTAGTCTTAGAGATGTCTCTGACTACTATCATGGGAAAGCGGCCTATTCCCTCGTTAAAAGTAAAGAGTGCAACGGCAAGCCACAGAGACAAATCTGCCATAGTGACAGCTGTTCTCCACTTGTTCTCCCAGCTAGAGAGGATAATCCTGGCAGTCGGTCATCTGCGGCCTCCAACTCCGAATATAAAGACCTAACTCATGAAATTAATTACCTGACGTCAAGTCCTAACTTCCATTTCTTAACAACTGATCAAAAGACAAGAGATTCTGTATTCCTGTCTCCTTTTTCAAAGAAATTTTCCTTGGATGAAAGAGGTAAAAACAAAACACAAATACCTGCAACAAACTATCTAGATTTCCTACAGTTTAGTTGACACATTTTTACACATAACCTTGCGGAAGCATTTACCTTGCTGTAGGTTCATCCGAACCAAGGCAAACTTTCACCAAAAACTGGTATTGTCTCAAACTGTTTTGGTCAAAAAATAATGTTTTTCAGAACAATGCTGCTTTTTTCCCCCCCCCCCCTTATGTAACACTTCATTTTATTAATGAAACTTCTAATTTAAAAAAAAAAAAAGTAATGAAAAACCTAAACAACATTGCTTTGGCTCCAATAACTTTTCCCCCACATTCTCCCATGGACCAAAATTATCAGATATTTGCCTAACTCTATTCTGTAACCCTTTTCCCCCCCCCCTTCATAAAAGGAGAGTGTGGAGTCCTTTCATCCATACAACTTGCTCAAATGTACTACTTTCCACCTCAAGTGTATTCGTTTCCAGACTTGTGAGTTACAATACATGGAAAGACCCTGATTTCAGTAGATTTATGTGCAAGTTGTCAGTTACAAGGTCAAAGCCTTTTGTTTAGTATGTTCAGAGATTTTTTTAGTTTAAAACTGAGTGGGGAAGTAGTAGATATGCTGGTAGGGGTAGGATTCAGAGTGACTTAAATAAATTGGAGGATTGGGCCAAAAAGAATCTCATGAGGTTCAATAAGGACAAGTACAGTCCTGCACTTGGGACAGAACAATCCCATGCACCAGTATAGGCTGGATGCTGACTAGCTGGGCAGCAACTCGGCAGGAAAGAACCTGGGGGTTACAGCGGACAATGAGCTGAATATGAGCCAGCAGTGTGCCCCTGTTGCCAAGAAGGCTAACAGCATACTGGGCTGTATTGATGGTAGTGTTGCCAACAAATCAAGGAAAGTGATTATTCCCTTCTATTCAGCACTGGTGAGGCTGCAGCTGGAGTACTGTTCTCAGTGGTGGCAGATGACAGAACAAGGAGCAATGGTCTCAAGTTGCAGCAAGGGAAGTTTAGGTTGGATATTGGGAAGAATTTTCTCACTAGGAGGGTAGGAAGACACTGGAGCAGGTTACCCAGGGAGGTGGTGGAAGCGCCATCCTTGGAGGCTTTTAAACCCCGGCTAGACAAAGCTTTGGCTGGGATGGTCTAGTTGGGGCTGGTCCTGCTTTGAGTAGGGGGTTGAACTAGTTGACCTCCCAAGGTCCGTTCCAACCCTAATTTTCCAAACAACATAAGCT